TCCTGACGTGAGGCTGCACTTGGGGTAGCTTTAAGGGTTTCTCGGCGGCAGCGCTTCGGGTTCGGGAATCGCTGAGATCTAATTGCAAACGCCATGGAAGCGCAGTGGCGTTACCGGGAAGTCGCTGTTGATCTGTGCTCCTTCGCGAGCTACGTGGAGCATTTACATATTTCAGGAGCTGAGGGGAGTTTCTTGGACATCTCGTAGCCTGCCAAGATGGCAGAAAGTCAGCGTGTCTAAAATCGGTGAACTAAACTTCCGTGCACAAAACACCTTTTAGAGGCACAGTATGAAGTTTGCCGTCTATTAGCTTTACTGTACTTTTACATCACTTTGGCAGTGCTTGTGGGCACATTGAGGTTATTTATGATTTATTAGTGAAAGGATAGTTCTGCCATCCCCGAAAATTTTAAATCTATTTTGAATTAGCGCTAGCTAAGGGAATTGTCTTTGAACTCTGGCTGTGTTCTCACAAGAATTTCAAAACAATTCCTTTTGAATCTGCCATCAGCACTTGTTCCCCTGTATTAGTGGATGATATCACTTGAGTTGAAACACAGCTAGGATACTCCCTGGTATGCTTTGTCATCAACTCATGCTTATGAAACACGCTCAGGTGCTGCAGGTAAGAATTTATTGTCAAACATGAACCGAGGCAAACCCCCACTTAGGTAATCATCTGGTGGTCAGAACCTTAAAGTGATTCAACATGGCTCTTGAATCACTAAGGCATCTCTTCGACTTTAAGGCCTTGGCCTGTTGTGTGCAGTGTCTTGTCCTTGCAGCAGTGTACTTACTGGTCCTTACACTCTACAGTACTGTGTAGTATGAAGCTTCTTCCTTTGCCTGGTACTAGAGTTTAGAATTGGTGCGATGCTTGGGTTAGGATTTTTTCTTGTTTGTTTTAGATTGAGGTTTTTTGGTTGTTACGTGTTTGGTTTTTTTATTTTAATTTTTTTTTTTGGAGGTGCTGTTTTTAATTGGTTTACACTGTTACAAGGTACACTTCCAAGTTCATATATGGCTTACTATTTTGATTTTGTATTTGCCAACCTGGAAAGTGACATTTTGCTAAACTGAAACCACTGCTTGCAAGTTGCTTTCTTCCCAAGCATGGTTTCCAATATGAGTGTTTACTGAGGCTGAAATCCAAAAATAGCAGGACCAACTTTGCAACAAGACAGTTGCGAATTTAGACTTTAATCCTGCGAACCACTAAGACAGAGACGGGATCCCCTATCTTCTAATCATAAGGTCACAGATCAGACCTTGAAACTCTCCACTTCCTTGTAGTATGCTGTTGGCACTAGATCATGACAGGCTAAAGAGAGATCAGGATCTCAGAACATTGTAATCACACACAGCTGATTTAGTCTGACTTGTGGTATTACCTGTCAGGACTAGAATTTGTTCTCTCCTGCAGCAGATGACATCCCAAGTGCATCAGTGAAGGTTTTTTCAGTCTGTTTGGCTGAATCCCTCTTTGTTAAATGTACATATCAAGCAAACCAAAGTTTATTATACTGCGTAAATCAAGACTTTCAGACTCTGTTAGTGTGTGTTGTAAATTTAATGTGAAGTATGTTATGCGTTCAGGATGCATCAACTCCTACTTAGAATAGAATCATAAAATAGTTAGGGTTGGAAAGGACCTTAAGATCATCAAGTTCCAACCCCCCTGCCATGGGCAGGTACACCTCACTCTGAACCATATCACCCAAGGCCTCGTCCAACCTGGCCTTGAACACTGCCAGGGATGGAGCATTCACAGCCTCCTTGGGCAACCTATTCCAGTGCCTCACCACCCTAACAGGAAAGGATTTCTTCCTTATATCCAATCTAAACTTTAAGTTTTAACCCATTACCCCTTGTCCTGTCACTACAGTCCCTAATGAAGAGTCCCTCCCCAGCATCCCTATAAGCCCCCTTCAGATACTGGAAGGCTGCTATGAGGTCTCCACGCAGCCTTCTCTTCTCCAGGCTGAACAGCCCCAACTTTCTCAGCCTGTCTTCATACGGGAGGTGCTCCAGTCCGCTGATCATCCTCGTGGCCCTCCTCTGGACTTGTTCCAGCAGTTCCATGTCCTTTTTATGTTGAGGACACCAGAACTGCACACAATACTCCAAGTGAGGTCTCACGAGAGCAGAATAAAGGGGCAGGATCACCTCCTTCGACCTGCTGATCCGCGCTGCTTTTGATGCAGCCCAGGATACGGTTGGCTTTCTGGGCTGCAAGCGCACACTGCTGGCTCATGTTCATTTTGTCATCGACACATAAATGGCAAATTCTACTTTTGGCTTGCAAATGAAAGCACATGGGTATTTGTGTGTTATGTATTGGATTGTCTACTTCTGGAACACCCTTTCTAAAGCGCTCTCCGGACTCAAGTAGTTGTCAGGTACATAGCCATTCCCAGAGAGTTTATGTTATGCTGGAGCTCGTGGTCACATCTGTGCCATCTGCTCTGAGGGCAGCCTGCATTTGGTTGGCAGAATGCTGCTTTTATTTGTACGGTTTGCTTTGTACAAGAGTGGCAGTTGTTTTATTATAACAAGCAACTCCTTTTGCCATGGAATAATGTGAACCTACATCTTAACTGTTTCCCAAGGGTGAAATTTTTTCCCCAACTCTTTTTTTCCCCCCAATTTTCAACAAATTCATGTTGATTTATGAGCTTGTATGTAAATGATTGACACATGCTTGTGGCATGTGGTATTGGTCTGAAATGTCGAGTGGTACCTGCTGAATGCACATCCTGTAATTGCTGCAGCATGTTGGCACTTCCGCTTCAAATGATCATGATGATCTGGTAGCAGGGAAACATTTATGTAGGAGTACAGAATCGGGAATGTGTAGAATTGAGAAAACGTGAGGATGTTACATCATAGATGCACATCCATTTTATCACTGCCGTACGCATCCATTAGAGTGAGGTAGTATAAAAGGCCTGAGTGGTGGTTTTGATAGGCTAAAAGAATTAATACAGGAGATTAATAGAATTAATATAGGAGGTGTATGCATGAAATGTCTCATCTGAAAATCCTTAAAAAAAACTTGTGGCAATTATGCTTTGTGTCCATTTGGCTAAGCAACCGGGCATCATTATGTCAGGGTATTTTAATAGAAAATCTTAGGGGAAGTTGGCATCTGGGAAGCTAAAGGCTGAAGGTGGCAAAGCCATTTATTGACATTTTAGTTCATATTCAAGGCTTCCATTGACCGTGGTGGAGTGGAGAATAACTATTTTCCTCAAGGCTATGGCCTCCATTGCTACTCCTACCTGTATAATTAATTGCAGCTTAAACCCCATTCCTGCAGATGCTCATAGTAAGAAATGCCGCGAACCCTGGTGATAACCGTAATATTTTTTTGAGATAGGATGTAATATGCAGCAGTGAAAACAGCATGGAATCCTTATTAGTTTAACCAAAGAAGTAGCTTTTGTAAAGATGATTTAATTAAAGAGTTTTAGAGCTTGCTTATTGCTTTTGTTTTAAACTGCTTATTTCCTTTAAACTTAGGATGAAACTAAAAAAACCCCAATAAACTAGAAAAGCTGTTCAAAATTATGTTTTCTTCTCTGGATGAAACCTACAATACTTTATTTTCACCGAGTCTTGGTTTTAGTTTGCTGGGCTTACTTAAAAATAGTTTAGTAACTTGAAGTTACATGATCTTATGCATTGAATGAATATTTGGAAGACTGAAATTGTCTGTTCAGGGGCTCAGAGTTAATCTCAACTAGCTAATGAAGTACGTTTCATGAGCTTAGTTAAAATGCTTTAAACCTTTGTGAATATTCTCTGTATGTATTGAATTTCCTGTTTTACTTCAGTTGCTTCACCTTAATTATCCAGGGGTAGACCAAGTCTTGCCTCAAGTAGACACTGCAGTGCAGCTATGGCACTCACTGGTTAGAAGGGTCATGTTGAGCCAGAAGGCAGTGGTTGATTTTAAATATTCCAATGTACAGTAATGGAGTTTGGGAAGCACTAGTATTGAAGAACTTCAGTCTTGTTTAAAAGACAGGACAAAATTATTCAGCATCAGATGAAAGCTGTCATCACTTAAATTCTGTTTAAGGTTTAGCTTATCCAAATAGTCAGGAGCAATGTTTATACTATGAGATGAATATCAATAAAACAGAAATATTGCTTCTTAATTGGGTAGGTTTGATTCTCATATTCAAGTGCAGCATTTACTATATTATGGGCTTGGACATGTTTTAAGAACTGGTTATTTTTAATGGCAGGAAAATTGATGCTTCCTTAACTAGAAAGTTTGGACTGCAGTAGTTTAAGATTTCTCCTGTTAATTGGGCACTAGGCTTGTGAAGCAAGTTCCCAGCCAGCACAGATCTTTAAATATGTGCATTCGAATGGGGAGAGAAGGGGATTCTAATCTCACTTAAGTAATTTGCAGAACTTCAGAGATCAGTATTCCATTAGTTGGGTACTTCTTGCAAACCTTAATAAAAACAGTTCTCCAGTATGTTAAGGATTTGGGTGGGATAATGTACAGGGTAAAAGGTTGTCCAGTCAACGTTTTCTTTATGACCATTCCAGCTTTTAAAGATCTGCTTTTGAAAGTAAGCTGGTGTTTTTGCTATTATTCCCTGTGTGAGTTTCTTCTACAGAAAAGCTGATGTAGAGCTGCATAGAATGAGCTCCCTTCAACAGCCTCCCCTATCTGTAACCAGCTCTGGAGCACTAATGCCTTTCTTTGTGCACACACGTCAATGAAGGAGGGAGGGGGGAAGGATGTAAACAGCTGTAAGTAGCAGCTGTTGTATACAGGACAGTAAACTGCCTCTTGCCAAAGGCATCCCTGTCCCTCGTGGAGGCCACCTCTAGCATGGCTTCATTCCTACCTGAGAATCTTTTCTCTGTATCCATTGGGGTTGAACCACTGAAGGAGAGGAAGGGTGGAGGTTCTTGACCTTGTCTGAGAAGGAGTGCAAAAGGGTAGAGCTTTTGTGTAATTCAGATTAGGGCACTGATACACAATCTGCAGTAAACCTTTGTTGCAAATATTAAGGTTTTGCCACTTTTAGCTGTCTGCCCCGTGTTTTTTGCATAGGTCCCTCCCCTGTACATCAGAGCTGGCAGATGGGTGTGTGTGGTCTGCACTTCAGCAATAGGTCTGGTATTTCATTATAAGCTGACTTTTGTTGATAGTTTAGGCTATGATGTTGTAGCTTACATTGAAAAAGCTGAGTGACAGGCATGCGTTTTCTCCTGTGACTGATTTGATGAAGTAATCTGCCAGAAAAAAAGAAATTAGTGTGAGAAATGAAAGGAGCAGTGAGAATGTAGATATGATTGCAGTCAGCAGTGCATTTTGTGTGTACTTTTGAGGTCCCTTCCAATCTCTAACATACTGTGATACTGTGATACTTACTTTTTTGTGAAGTTGGCTTTACCAGGGGAGTCTTTAAAACTTTGTTGTGTTGCTCATGCTGGACGGTTTTGTCCTGAATTTAAATTTAACACCTCAAACTCAAGTACAGGAGCTTTTATAAAAAACCTTTTATTTCAGTGGGCAGTCATCTGAATTGAATGTGGTAGGTAGTGTTGGGGAAGCCTTGCAACAAAAAATTAGTTAAAATTACATTCACAAGTTTAAATTGGTGTTTATGCCTTTGGCAACCCTTCATAAAACACTTGGATGTAGATGAGATTTAATGCTGAAAAATGAACCAAACAGCATTGCAGGATGCAGTACTGAAAGCTAAAGAAGGTAGAGGGGATTCTTATGTATTTTATATAGGCACTGTTCGGAGCCTTCTTACCAACAGTAAACTTTAGTATTAAAATTCTGAGTACAGGAAGCCTTTGTTCTGAACCTCATCCCTTTGAGATGCGCGATATGATAGACATATTAAAGATCTCCTGCAGCTTTTTCCAGTGTAATTGTAATGGTTTTTTTAGTCTGGTTTTAAGAAAGCAAGATGGGAGGATTGCAGACTGCTTTGCAAATGTTAGGCCCTAGTGAAAAAAGGAGGAGACAAATGTTTAATCCTTTCCGCAAGCATCTGGAGACCAGAGTTGCAAACTGAACTGAGCACAGATGCTAAAGTGCTTTAGCTTTTTCCAGTGGAGGGCATGAGGATTGTGTTAGATGCTCAGTGAACTTTCAAAGTAAGCTTTCTCTGTAAACTGGACTTAAGTTGGCCATCAATTCTGTAAGCTCTTTCAGGTTTCTAGTAAGTGTGTGTCCTTCTCTTGTGCAATAAATATTTCCCAACATTTGCTGGCCTATTTGAATAAAAATGCCAGATAATTCTCTAAATCAGACAACTGCAAAAATATGTTTTTCATTTTAACCTTAGATTTAATTTCTTTTTTGAATAATGTAGAATTTCCTGAATGACAGTTTGCCAGATGAGCAGTGGCTCCCTTCCATTCCCCTAATTCAGACTGTGGTCTGTTCACAAATACAGTTTTAAACTTTTTCCTTAATTATATATATTTAGCATGTGTATGTTTATATTTATTATTTATTATTTATATATTTATTATTATTTATATATTTATTTAGCACGTGTAGATATATATTTAGATGTGTAGAAATCAGTATTGTCTAAATAGCGAAGGTAGGACTCAACTGTAAGAGCAGCTGCACTCCAGAAACAGGCTTTGTTTGTGTGTTTCCTTGGGGCTTTTTATGCTCTCTTGGCTCAGTGTGACCTCGTTTTGTGTGTAACTACCTAATTCTATAGACAGGCCTTAGTTTTGTATCTCTGCGCTAGCTGTTCAAAACATAGAACCATTAGAAGGGTAATTATGCACAGTAGCATAATATGGTGGGGTCATTGTTCAGTTGTAGGTAAGTTGGTATAATCATCCCCAGGTAGTTGTGTTCATAGACTGTACCCCTATGGTGTATTGCAGTAGCGTTCACATGCATCTTTAGATTTGCATAAAACATGGACTGGTAAAAGACATGCCTGCTTTTCTGAAAGGAGAGGTGATGTTCACTTTTTAAAAAGGAGAGATGAGAGTTCACTAGGTTAAATAATTAAATTTCAGAATAACATGTCGGAGTACATCTAAAAATGAATTCACCACACTGGTTACAGATGCGTTGTTAGAATATCAATTCGGTAACTGTTATATGATATTCCTCTCCATGTATTTTGTTGTGAACGTGGAGAGTTCTTCTATTCAGAAAATGCAGACTTACTGAGTTTAAGTTATTAAGGGTGCATGTGATTTTTAGAAAAACCTTGTCCTTCATTGTCCCAGTCCCCAAAATTGTTGTTTGTGGAGGCTTGGCAAACTCTAGAAGGCCTCTGTCACATGGAGTCCAAGGCAGTGCACAGAAGTGCTCCTTCTGGTTGATGTGTCAAGTGCTGGTGGCTGAGGTTCCACTGTATGTTACTGCATCCTTGACAAACTGTGGGCAGTCTGTAGGAAGGCTATCAACAGAACACTGCCAACCCAAGCATCTAATGAGTGTTAGTTAATCTAGCATTTGTGTGAAATTGTCTCTCACAATGCCAAAATCTCATTCCTGAGTGGTAGTAGTCAGGCCAAAGTGCCTTACTTTGAATATAAACTTCTTTCCAATTACATCACTTCACATTTGTCTATACGGAATTTACTGTTCCTTTGTTTATCTTTGTTTTCCTTCTGTTTTGTTCAGCTAGGTGCATCTTGCAGTTTCTCTTGTGGCTGATTTACATATTTATCTTCTCTAGGGGCTGCAGTGTAGTCCTGGGTCATAGAACCAAAGATCATTGTGGTTCTTGCAGGGAAAATCTCCATGTCAACAGTATGCTTAGTTTCAGGGTCCATTATTCAAAAGTTTGGAAAAGCCAGGATTAAAATACTTGGTTATTGAATGGATAGGTGGTTAAGCAGTGCTTCACTTTTCCTTTCAATGTACTTCAGTCAGTGTGCACAACCCTTACCCTGCACTGAGCATGTGTTTTTAATAGCCCTGTTAATTTCAGGGAATGGTATTTGTCATAATGCCTTGGAATTGATGTATGTAAAGCAGTCAGATTTTCTTGAGTAGAACTGTTGTTGCAGGTTTTGAGTACTCTAGGGGGGGAACAAGCCATACCTTTGAATTCAGTGCATAAATATAGGTGTGTGGTTGCCATCCTTTTTGTGCTGAATGTCTTTAATCGGTGACCAGGAAAGAGAAGCTGGTAACTGAGCTCCCTTTCTAGTTGGATCTGTCCAGCTACAGAGGTGAACTCTGCAAAAGGCTGGAATACAATTGAGAAACATTTCAGCTGTTGGTAACTCTGAAATTTGCTGGAAACCATTACCTGCATTGTACACCTTCCAAATTTCAGAACAGAGGAGAAGAGCTGTAGACAATAGTCTCATTCACAAAGGGCTTATGTATTGAAAGGTAGGTTCTTTGAAAAGGTATCATGTAGTCATCTGAGTAGCAGTATCACTGTCCAAGCACATGCAGTAGCTAACAGTTGCACAGCAGTGTGGCATTTCCTTCCTTGAAAGGCCTAAAACATGAATATTTCTAGGTTTTCTTTTAATATACAATTATGATATTGTTGCTAGATACTGTACAAACAATATGTGGTGTGTAGCCTGAGAAGTCCAGTACGAAAGGCTTGAGAAAGGAGAACTGTGAAAAGTAGAACAAGCAGCGTTATCACGATAGGGACAATCGCAACTGTTACATTCCTGGTTATGTTTTTGGTTTCTTAAAAAGTGTCCTGTGCTTTTTGGCCCTTGCTGTTTTCTTTGACTGCCCTTCATGTGTTTTCTCTGCATGTTTGCTCAAGCGTCTTTTTGGAAGTGACAGGAACCTACATATTTCAGAATTATGCACTGTCACTGTGCATTGTTTTTTCCATTTAATAAATGCTATCCAAAAGGCCAGCTTGTTTGAAACTGATAATTTTCTACTGTTTACACTTGTCTTGTGATGTGTACCATGCCATTGCTTCCTTATTCAGCTTAAAAATCCACGTTTAGTGTTCTTTCAGACTGTTATTTTCTGCTTCCAGGAGTAACTAATTTTCAGGCTGAAACGAATGTTGCAAATGCAGGTGTGTGGGACGAGGCAATAGTTCTTTGCTGGTTGATGCTTCTTAATCTTCAAACAGGCTTAAATGGTCTTCCCCTCCCTTTATAGCTGCTTTCCATCCCTCTTTTCTAAAGCTGTTTTCATCTGTGAGCTAATGAGTAAGACTAATGCAGTGATGAATTTTTTGATGCTTAGAGTTGGAAATATCCTGTTTGACACAATATCAGACAAGGACTCTAATAAATGTTGATTTTTGCTTGGCTTAAGTGTTCTTTATTTTCTTTAATTTGAACTTATGATTTTATTGGTTTAACCTTTCCTGCCCTCCAAGGCAGAACTTAAAGCAAATCAACCCCATTTTTTCTATTATGCTTTCCTGATTACAAACCAGAAAGCTGCAGTAAATGATTTTAACATAATTCTGTTACAAATCAATATTAAATTTAACTCTGAGTTTATGCCTGTGGAGGAAAATGAGTGATCTTCTGAAGCTTTGGTGGGAGTGATCTTCTGCCACTCTCTATTTAAGTCAGCTGCTACTAGCATTAAAAATGAGCCCAGGCTATTTCCAGCTTAAGCTAGAAAAATGTAGCAGCAGTGCTACAGGGAGTATGAATGCTGACAAATGGGAAGGAAGGGAGCTGACGCAGATGCTGCTCTGTTTGGTACCTTGAAAGAGGCAGTTTGGTAGGCATCAGGCTGTCATTTCTTACTGAATTTGCTGAGACCTGAAAACATCTGTGGTAAAAGCAACTAGTTCCTGTAAGCATTTTCCTTCACTGTCTTGCTCATGTGTATTTGGGTGAGGTATCCTTTGTAATTTTTCAAATTTTTTTCCTCCTTTAAATGACTTCTGTAATCTTCTTAATAGCTGCTAGGAAGGAGTTCTTAAAGGGTTTTTAGCAGCTTTTCTGTAAAAAAAAAATTAGACACTTTTGCAGTTTATAATAGTATTTTATTCCTGCATTCATACTTACAGGTTAGTGTTTTGGATCATCATAGAATGGTTAGGATTGGAAATGACCCTAAGATCTAGTTCCAACCCCCCTGCCGCAGGCACCTCACACTAGACCATGTTGCCCAAGGCTCTGTCGAACGTGGCCTTGACTGACAGGGGTGGAGCTTTTACCCCACTTCTTTGGGCAGCTGGTTCCAGTGCCTCACCACCCCCTCTTGAAGCATAAGCAGTATTTTCTGTTATTATATTTATGAAAAACAAGCAGATTAGTTAGCTTCTATAAATATTTTTTTCCTTGAAAATACTGGTTTAAGGTTTTTTGTTAGCTTTTTGATGAATCCACAGGTAAAGAGAAGAGAGAAGATTAGGAATGGGACTGTTAGACTAATAAAACTACATCTTTCTGCTACAGACCTTATGTGAAACTGGCACAAGACCCTGGTGCTGAATTTGTTTTAAAGCAGGTCTGTTTGCTCCAGTGGCGAGTACTGTTGCTGTATTTCCAAACTGTTGGAAAATCATCTCTGTTTTCCAAAACTGTTGCAAAATTGTATGTGTATTGCTTCCTGTATATGCTGCATTGCCATTGTCCTTTAACAGTAGCATTGATGCTTACTCCTTAAAGAGTGTTTAAATCTGTAACAGCTGAGTGAATAATCATCCTTGTGGAGAGGTAGGAACTGTCACCACTTTATATTTGGAAACTGGGACACAGAAATGGTGATCTGCTGGAGCTATACCGGAAACCTCTGGCAGTGCCAGAGACTACTAGTCACGGTTGTAATTCAAGACTAATCCTTTCCGATAGGCGTATAACGGATCACTCTGAACCAAATTTGGCTTTCTGTTTCTATGCAAAGTCGTTGGAATTTGCTGCTTGGGAATTTATTTTTTTTCCTTAGGCCACCTGTAAAGTGAAAAACTGTAGGAGCTGACCCCAGGGAAGTATGGGTTCTGCTTTGATGGGGTTTTAAGACAGCTTGGGATGCAACTTGGTGTACCTCTTGGTAAAGGAAGGCACTACTGCAATTGAATGTAAATAAAAAAAATAAGTAAAATAGAAGGAGTATTAGAAGCATAAAGCCCTTATATATTGAAACTTTGCAGAATACTTAAATGCTACAGTTCTAGTTAATCTGTAAAATGAAACTGAGCAGGGTTTTTAC